CGTTCCGAATGCATCTCGCTTCATTTGTGTGTTCCCGTCTTAAGCTCTTTGGCTCGAGCGCTCATGCCGCCCAAGTCTTTTTGGATCTGTACTCCTACAGCTTCCGCTTGCAGCGATAGCTCTTGGGAGCTGATCTCGGTGCTGTCTGACGAGCGTGACTCTGGTGAGCAGGGGTATCCCACAACGGCGCGTCTGGGTTTCGGACTTCTGGCGGTATTCCTGTGGACCCTGTTCACTGTGGCGAACGACGTGGACGAGCGTGGTGCAGAGCAGCCCGATTACGGTCAAATCGAGGCGCTGATGCTGGTGGAGGTATGGAGTCGACGTTACTATCGTCAGAGCTCGACAGACGGTGTAGAAGTTGCGCTGGTGAGACGGAAGTCGGATAATCGCTGGGCTGTCCTTATGCCTGGCATGACGTTGGGCCTGATCACGATCACGGCGAAGTCGAATCTCTTTTCGGACCCGATCGAAGGGATACGCTGGAGGCCTCTTCCGCTGCTGACCGAGCCGCAGATGCCATCGATCATGGCGCAGGCTACTCAGGGACTGCAGGCGGGAACTGTGCCGGAGCTACCTCTCTATCGTGCTGGCGGGTCCGCGCAGCAGGCTCTTACGACGAATCTGATCCACACTCTCGTGACCTCGTGGAGGCCAGCGTTGAAGAGTCTGCGCTGGTCACTACGGAGCCCGAAGCGCTTCTTGGGAATGCTGGCTCTTCTGTTAGTCCTGGTGGAGGGTCTGAACATGTTGGGTGTGATTCCCTGCATGTACGACACCGCCCTGGCCGTGCTCGTCTCTCTTCGGGCTGCTCGGGTCACGCTGGTCGAGAGCTCAGAGGCTCTCCGAGAAAGGGGAGTGTACGTCAACGAGTGGTTGGAGTGGGGGCGGCGTGTCATGCCCTTGCAGCGGTGGTGTGCCTTGCTGTTGGCGACGGGTTTGCTTCTCGCTTGGGGGCTGCACGAGTTCACCGATACCGAGGATGGTGGACAGTCTTCGATCGGGACATCGTCGACGGTTTCGGCACCATCGGGGTGTGCGGTGCAGCCGCCTCCCCTACCTCCGCCAGCTGCTGCACCCGCGCTGGACGGCGCGCTGGCGAGCCAGCTCAGAGACCTCGCGGAGTCGCAGAAGGATGTGGCGGAGGAGCTAAACGAGATGCGGATCGCCGAGAGTCGAGAGCTGCGTCGAAGCACGCTCGAAGAGAGCGGTGGGGTGCGCTCCGCCGTGGCCGAAGAGGCGAATCGCCAGATGATCAAGGAGATGATGAACAAGCTCGACAGTGTGGAGGCGAAGTTGCGTGGCGAGCCGGCTTCCAGCGAGGGCCCAGCGGTCCTCGGTGGAGGAGCTGCTGTGGAGAGCTCGCCAACGAAGGGTGCGTCTGGGGTCGCGGGTGTGTTGCTCGAGACTCCGGAGAAGAGGGCGGCGACGACGCACCCGGAGGCAGTGGAGCTGGCGATCAAATGGATGCGGTTCAAGGTCTCGGCAGCATGCGTTCCTGGAGCAGCTGGGCGACTACGAGGAGCAGCCCGCCGCAGATAGGGTGACGAAGATACCGGAGGGGTACCGCGAGCGGATCGCGTCGGAGGTGCTGGCGGACATCTACTCTACGGGGAAGACGGCGGAGGCTTGGGCTCGGGACTTCATCCGGGACCGCGGCCCCATGGAGTGCAACGCCGCTCGGGAGATGGTGGCGGCCTTCGGTGCGATGGACACGACGCTGATGACCGACCGGCAGAAGGGCTTGCTGAGTCAGGTGAGCTTCGAGCGGCTGGCGAGGAAGGGCTACGCGCTGGCGCGGGCGTACCGCAACGCGCACTGCAAGGACGACTGGGGCCGCCCGAAGGACGCAAAGGCCTGGAAGACCAAGGTCGACTGGGAGGCGGCCCGCTGGCTGGACCCTCAGGAGGGGACGCGGCGGGTGATGAGCGCAGAGGATGAGATGAAGGCTAGTGGTCGGGAAGCGCAGCTGATGAAGGCGCGCGCGGATCTCGACAGCGGGGGCGTCGCCCCGCCCTGAGCCGTCCTGGGCCTTCAATTGGGGTCCGCGGTGCCAGCTGTGCTGCGGAACCCGTCCTGTCCCCGGTCGCTCTCGGGCTGCGGGCGGTGTTCTTCCAAGTTCTTCGAGTACTTGAGGTTGGGGCTCCTGGTCGAGACAGTCTGGGGCCTCTACGTGGTTGCGTGCACGCCGAATTGGGGTTTTCATGTCGAGGCGGCGGGACCTCCTGTCCGAGGTGACCCTCTTTCACAAGCCCGCTCGGCCCCTGTCTTCTTCAAGGAGGGTGTCCTCGCAGTGGAGGATGGAGGTTGGGTCCCACCAGCCCTCTGGGCGTAGGTGGTTTTGGGAGTTTCCTCTTCCACCCCCCTTCTTCCCTTTCGGGGAAGGGTTTGTCACTGTTCCCCATTAGTATACACCCCCTCCCCCAGGCGACTGGGAGCCAACCCGAGTCAATGAGGGCACCCCTACACCATCCCTTGTAAGAAAAACCATGCAAAGCACACTCTGCCTCCAAATTCGGAGCATGCGCAACCAACCCGATGCGCCCCCCCCCCCGCCATCCATATGTTTTTATGTGTTTTTTTTAATTTTATTTTATTTTTTAACAAAAAAAAATGCAGGGTACACTTGGCGGCGGCGGCGGCTGCGGCTGCTGCGGCGACGGCGGCGGCGGCGGCGGCGGCTGCGGCGGCGGCGGCGGCGGCGGCGGCGGGGCGGCGGCGGCGGCGGCGGCGGCGGAGGCGGCGGCGGCGGCGGCGGCGGCAATGGCGGTGGCGGCAGCGGCTGCGGCGGCAGCGGCTGCGGCGGCAGCGGCGGCGATTTGGCAGCGGGGGCGGCGGCGGCGGCGGCGGCGGCGGCGGCGGCGGCGGCGGCGGCGGCGGCGGCGGATTGGCCCCCAGTAGCTGCCCATCCAAAGACGACTGTTGAATATGCTGAGGCTCGGGCCAGACTCGGGTGCTACGTATGTGTTGGGAGGGCGGGTTGGGAGTGAGCGAAACGGCTTGCGGGCGGGAAGGGAGTCTTGATTACTGTTCCCTATTAGTATACACCCCCTCCCCCAGGCGACTGGGAGCCAACCCGAGTCAATGAGGGCCCCACCCACCATCCCTTGCAAAAAAATCTCCCAGTGCGACCCTACCTAGGAGTTGAAACCCCGAGGAAAGCAGCATTACTAGTAACAGTAACGCTAAGCTAAAGCTAAGCTAAAGCTAAGCTACAGCTAAGCCGCAGCTAAGCTAAAGTTAAGCTAGAGCTAAAGATAAGCTAAGCTAAAGATAAGCTAAGCTCAAGCTAAGCTCAAGCTAAGCTAAAGATAAGCTAAAGCTAAGCTAAAGCTAAGCTAAAGCTAAGCTCGAGTTAAGCTAAAGCTAAGCTAGAGCTAAACTAAAGCTAAGCTAAAGCTAAGCTAAACGCTAAGCGAAAAGCTAAGCGAAACGCTAAGCTAAAGCTAAGCTACAGCTGAGCTACAGCTAAGCTATAGCTAAAGCTAAAGCTAAAGCTAAAGCTAAAGCTCAAGCTAAAGCTAAAGCTCCCAGGAGACTGGGGGAACCGCCCCCAGGGGACTGGGGGAACCGCCCGGGGCGTGTTGCACTGCCCGGCCCCTTTAAGCTAAGAGAGTAAGAACCCTTCTAGGCAGAGCCTAGGTAGAGAACCATACACAACACAGTCTGCCTCCAAAGTCGGACCATGCGCAGAAAACCCGATGCGGCCTCCCCCCACCATCCCCGTCAAAAAACAATACACAGTACACTTGGCGGCGGCGGCGGCGGCGGCGGCTGCAGGGGGGGCAGCGGCTGCGGCGGCTGCGGCGGTGGCGCCGGCGGTGGCGGTGGCGGCGGCGGGGGCGGCGGCGGCGGCGGCGACGGCGGCGGCGGCGGCAGCGGTGGCGGCAGCGGCTGCGGCGGCAGCGGCTGCGGCGGCGGCGATTCGGCAGCGGGGGCGGCGCGGCGGCGGCGGGCGACGCTGCGGCGGCGGCGGCGGACAGCGGCGGCAGCGGCGGCGGCGGCGGCGGCGCGGCGGCAGCGGCGGGCGGCGGCGGCGGCGGAGGCGGCGGCGGCGGCGGCGGCGGACTGGCCCCCAGTAGCCGCCCATCCAAAGACGACTGCTGAATATGCTGAGGCTCGGGCCAGACTCGGGTGCTACGTATGTGCTGGGAGGGCGGGTGGGAGTGAGCGAGACGGCTTGCGGGCGGGGAGGGCGTCTTGATCCCTCCCCCCATACCCCCTCCCCTGGACCTGGACGGGGCCGGTCGCGAGCGGTTAGGGCGTCCAGAACGGCATCGGCGAGGAAGCCCAAATCATTGGTTTTACTACGGTTTTTGGCCCGATGTTGGCCTCTTGGGGGGGGGGGGGGGGCAGCGCTAATTAAGGAACCCCCGTTCTTTGATCGAGGCCCCCAAGAAGCGCCCAGGAGGCCCCAAGAGGCCCCAAGATGGCCCCAAGATGGTCTCAAGAGGCCCCCAAGAGGCCCCCAGGAGGCCCCCAAGAGGAGCTCAAGCAGACCCAAGAGACCCTCCCGAGGCACCCAAGACGCCCAAGAGCCCCCCAGGACCGCCAAGAGACCCTCAAGACGTCCCAAGAGGCCTCCAAGAAGCGCCCAAGAGATACCCCAAGAGGCTCCGAGAGGCATCCCAGAGACCTCTGGCCCGTTTGCTTGCCCTCCTCCTCCCCTCCTCCTCCTTCCTCCTCCTCCTCCTCCTCCTCCTCCTCCTCCTCCTCCTCCTCCTCCTCCTCCTCCTCCTCCTCCTCCTCCTCCTCCTCCTCCTCCTCCTCCTCCTCCTCTTCATGCTCCTTCTCCCCACTCCCTCATCCATCCATCAAGCCTTCCTCCTTCTCCTCCTCCCTCCTTTGCATGGGTCGGCCGTCCCCCTCTTTGCTCCCACACTTCCCTGATCACCTCAACTCGGCTGGACACCGTCTGGTGGGGATACTTTTTTTTTCGCGAGCGCGCAGGAATGCCAGGCGCCGTCAAGAAACGCCGGCAGAGGGGGGTGCCGGAGAAC